ATATATATATATATATATATATATTATATATATATATATATATATATATATAATATATATATATATATATATATATATATATTATATATATAGAATGAAGAATTATTCTGAACCACTCATTTATTTTTACCGTAAAACCCTCTGTCGTACCAGCAAAAATGAGAAATGAATAGATATGTATGTTTCAACAAAATATATTTTTTTTAAACTATGTTAATCATTATCTTAATGTATACAAAAACATAGTTTTTTTTTTTTTTTTTTTTTTCGTTTTTTAAATTTTTAGGAAGTTATTTTTATCGAAAAATGATTTTAAATATACCAAAATTCATGATTTTTTATTCTCTACAAATAAACATTAATATTGATATAGTCTTAAGATAAAATAATTTTTTTAAATATTTTTAGTTATCGTTATTTATAAATGAATAAAAATGCATCAGATTTTATTACAGTACATTTGTTATTCACTTATGAATAAAAAGTATAATTATTATTATTTTTTTTTTACAATTTAAGTATCATTCATATATTAATATAACATATAATAAATATAGTATATTCATATTAAAATATTAGACGATGTATTCGTTTGTGAATATTAACATAGTATATTCACTTGTGAATATTAGATGATATATTCACTTGTAAATATTAAATGATATTTTTATATGTGAATATTACATAGTATTACATGGTATATCACATGTGAATATTACATAGTATATTCACTTGTGAATATTAGATGATATATTCACTTATGAATATTACACAATATATTCACATATGAATATTAGAATGCATATTCACTTGTGAATATATTCAGTTATGAATATTAGAAGGTATTTTCCCAAATATATATAATTTTTATATGTTATTCACATATGAATAATATATAGACTTGCATATTTGTTTTGTGTTTTTAATAATCATATACTGAGTCAAGTGAGGAAACATATTTATATGTGAATATAACGTGGTAATTTAGTTTATGCATTTCATCAAACGGTTTGAGTGCATACAAGTTAACTATTTTAAAAATGTTAAAAACATGATACTTCCGATTCAAGTTATCAATTCTAAATCATCATATACTTCTGATTTCGACTTCAGATGCGACGTCCTATGTCTGATCGATTTCTCATTTTGATTTTGATTTCCGAAAATCCGATTGGGAACCTGTGAGTACCGATTCCGAGTCTTTCACTGTCGACTGTGATTGCGAGTCTAGAACTCCAATTCCAATTTCACGAACAGCGAAGAAATTCCAATTCCAACTAAGTTCGTTTGCGAATCTGGGAAATTCCAATTTCAAATCCGTTATGAACTTTAACAAATGCTTGCAAGCTACGAACATTCAGAGTATTCAACAAAGAAATCGATGAAGGCTTAGTTGAAGAAATTTGAATGATTGTTTAACACTGGATAACATTGATGATGGTTTAGTTGAAGAAATTTGGATAATTGTTGAAGGTTGGAGGAGAAATTTTGATGATGAACGAACTGTTATCGAATTCTCTACAGTTACGTATTTGAGATTGGAGGTTAATAACATATTTACAAGTTTGCCACCGTATCTTTTTATGCTTAGATTAAATGAGTGGCTGAGAATGATTCCCTAATTCTCAACATTTTTTATTTTTTCTCAATTGAACTTACATCTCTCTCTCTCTCTCTAGATATATATATATATATATATATATATATATATATATACACACACACACACACACACAAGCCGTTTACCAGCGCCAAACGTCGGATGTTAATTGTTTTTTCAAAAATTAGCTTGTAGAGGTGATTACTTCTTCTTCTTCTTCTTTTTTTTTTTTTTTTTTTTTTTTGTGAAAATAGTTTACTATATCTAAATAGTTATCAATATTATTATCCTAGCAGAAACGTAATCAATAAGAACTAAAAATGAAAAGTTAAGATTCTTTACAAATGTACATGAAAACATAATTGATTGTGCATTTTAATCGTACAACATTTCTTTATAAATCACATTTGATGTATAGACTTCACTACTGTTGAAATGAGAAAACCAATTCTGAAAGATAAATACCTACTTAATATCATAAGTTAATAATATGATAAATAATTTGTTATTTATTATTTTATTTTAGAGTTTAAAGGTCTTGAGTACTTAAATAAACGTGTTGGATGATAAAGAAGATTAGCACATGATCATCATTTTGTATGTTCTTAACCCTCTAATATTTATGTTGGGTAAATGATCAGTGAGCCATCAAAACTTATTTATAACTTAAAAAATAAATAATGATATGTCACAAAATTATTGATTTTTACTTTGGCAGTATTGTTTTCTAATAATATGTAATATATTAAAGGTATTAAGTACATATACGATTAAAAATTATCAAATCTGTAAAGCAAATTTGGCATGACCCAATTTGACATGAGTTTTTAGGTCAATAAATCTCCTTTTTAAAATAAAATTTTAATTAGCTTTTATGTTACTTCGTGTGATATAATTAGAAATTTCATTAAGAAGGCTAATATAAAACATATATAAAATTAAAACAAAATAATCGTCATTACATAAAGCCCAATGAAACTAGAGGGCATACAACTACATGTGTCCTCAACATTTGATAAAAAAAAACTTATGTTAGCTAGAAACATTAGGCTTATCGCTTATATCTTTATACTACTAATGTTTACCAGGTTCCTTGCTAAACTGAATGCAACTATTATAAAATTTAATTGCCATACACATACCAAACAATAACAATGTAGTTTCAAAGTACCATTTGTAAAGTTAAAAATGCTATAATTAGGTATTCAAAAAGAAAAATACAATCATTTGAAGATTTTTGCATTTATTTACAATTATTTCATTTTTCTTATTCAAGCATTGTTATTTGAAGTATGGGGCTATAATTGGGTATATAAAAATAAAAAGTAAGTTGGTGTTATAGAATTTAGCCTAAATAAAAAGGGAAAATGGAAGAAATGGTAATGTACCTATAGATCTTTACCTAAAAAAATGGTAATGTACCTATACTCTATACACAAAGTTGCCTTGCTTCTTCATCATCGTTTATCTACTTAACAAAACTTAAATAAAAGGACAAATTACACGAATGGTCCCTATGGTTTTGTGTTTGTTACGCGCCTAGTCCCTAACTCCATTTTTTAACCCTGTCAATCCTTAATAGTTTGGTTTAGTGCACGCCTGGTCCCTCTTCTAACATTCCGTTTGATTTTGGAGTTAAAACCCCCACGTGCCTTGCACGTTGAGGGTTGTTTCCGTCATTTTACTTATTCATCCTTTAAAAACCCTAGATCGGTGCATCCCCCTTTTCTTCCTCTACGTTTGTTCTCTCATTTCATCTCTCGTTTCTTTAATGGACAAAAAATCAACAATGATGAAATGTAATTGCGGGCAACCAAGTGTTATACTGACATCATGGACCGATGACAACCTCGGAAGAAAGTTTTATGGCTGCACAAAGAAGGTAAGGTCGTTTTGATTCTAACTCAAGCTTTTGTGTGACAATGACCATAAATTTGTTGGATTTGAACTTGACAGGGACCTAAATGTAAGTTTATTGGATGGGTTGATGAGGAAGGATGTGGACGATGTACTAGGATAATTCCAGGGCTGTTGAAGGCTAAGAACAAAGTTGAAGCTGAGAATCGGCTGCTGAAGATAATCATTATTTTAAGTTGGGTGTTCATAGGAATCAATATTTACAAGTTGTAGTGCTTTAGAAGATGCAACTAGTATGCTATGTAGGATGTTTGTCTTTTTTGAACTTATTTTGACTTCTATGATCCATGTAATTGGTTGTTATATGTGAATTTGAAGCGTTTTTGGAATGTATTTTGATTAAGTGTTTGTGAATTTGATAATATTTTGGTTAAGTGTTTGATTAAGTGTTTTTGGAGCTTATTTTGACTTCTATGATCCATGTATTTTGATTAAGTGTTTTTGGAACTTATATGGAAAAGTAAACACTAATAATTGACAAAAATAACCAATAACATATGCTAACAATCGACATAAACAACCAATAGCACAAGTGGGATTTAATAAAGGGTAATTTAGTTTCCATATTTTCCATAACATAGTTTCATACATCAACAAAATGGTTAACCAAAAGAAACATAATTTACCCAAAAGTATTAACCATAAGGACACTTTTTTACCAAAAAGACACAGTTTAACCAAAAGAACTGATTAACCAACAAAAAATCTTTCACCAATGGATCAAGTCCCTTTCCCTCAACCAACTTTTCCTTTTCCCTTACCAGAACCACCAGGACCACCAGAACCACTAGGAACACTGGGAGCACTAGCTTTTTGTCCCTTACAACTCCTTGCATTATGACCAATGTTGTTGTACTTTGAACAAGTAACCGACTGAAGGATTCTTGATGCACTATTACCCTTCACCATGTCATCAATTTCATAAGCTGCTTTTTTGCGTTTCTTCTTTGGTCTACCTATTGTAACACAATGTTTAGGAGGAACCAAATTTGTTGGACACACAGAATTTTCCTACTTGCTTCTCCCATTAATGGGCTCAATTTTGAATGAGTACATCTGTTTCCAAGTTTTTAGCAAATATACCTCATGCACCCAAGTTTCTGGTATTCCAACATCCTTACTATTCTTCCTCATCTCCCCTATAGTAGCAACAACATGTTTGCATGGCATCCCAGTGAGTTCCCATTTCCTGCAGGAGCATGTTTGTTGAACCACATCCACCGCTCATTGCTCCATCCAAGGGCCACTTACCTGATACTTACCATTTCCACAAAAAACAGATCAATAATCTTCTGCCTTTTTTTTAATATTTTCCAAAGTCTGCATAGCTGTAGGTGTCAAAGGACCAATACATTTCCCAATGGCCTTTTCTACATTCACAATCTTCTTCATTATATATTCCCTAATGAACTCTAGGCAAGTAATAATTGGTTTATCACGGCCCTCATTTAGTTTTCCATTGAATGTTTCACACAAGTTATTAAGAATCACATCAGAATGTGCTCACCCTGTCCAATCACATCACTTAAAGTCAATACTAAAAAACTACACAAACCGGGAAAACATAAAGAATGTTACCATAATGAAATGTTATACCAGCGAAATGGAACCTAGACCAGTGTTGAGGTGGTATCTTCTTAAGCCACTCATAACAATCCTTGTTTAATTTCTTTAGCTCTTCCATGGCTTTGTTAAACTGTTGTACATGTGTTGCAGTTGCACATGTCCATAAGAGGTCTTCGAAAGGTTTACCCCTCCATTGCTTCCTCATGTTATCCCGAATGTGACGAACACAGTAACAATTTTCAGCACAAGGAAACAAGGTTGCAATTGCATTTAGAATACCCTAACAATCATACATAGATTTTGTTAGTAAACAATTTAGAAATAAAGTAAAAAATCTATGATTTTAGTACCTTTTTTCTATCTGTTATAAAAGTGAAATTAGAATTAGTATTCAAGCCAAGATCCTCCCCAAGACAACTCAAAAACCAAGTCCATGAACTGATGTTCTCTGTTTCAACCACCGCCTATGCCAATGGATATGTGCCATTATTACCATCTAGTTCCTGCATTTTATGATAAATAACAATTATGAATAAGTTTTTACTTATTTTTATGTATAACAATAAGTAAAAGAACAATAACTAAAACTTACCACGGCTGAAAGAATTTGTCCTGGAAATGGACCCTTCATGAAAGCACCATCAAAGCCAAGAAAATCCCTCTTTCCAGCTGCGAAGCCTTTCTTTAAAGCTCCTCAGCATATGTAAATGCGTATGAATGTCCTCGTTTCACTGTGTGGATTTCCTTCGCTTTCAACATCAACCCTAACAGTCATATATGGGTTACGAGTTTGCAACTCAACAATGTAATCTCTGAGTAAACTATATTGAGTAACGAAATCTCCTTGCACAAGGTTTAGAGCCTCAAATTTTTCCCTAAATGTTTTCATCCTAGAATGATCTACCTTAAACCTCCATTGTAGCTATTCTTGCAAAGCCCTAATTGGAATAGTAGGGTTACTTTCAACTTGTTCAAAAATGTTAGAAGAGAGGAATTTATACGTACATGCTTTTACTGTTCTAGTTTGAAGACATTTATGAACTTTGTTGTACGTTTTAACTGTCCAGTTGACATATTTTTTCCATTTACTAGCTAATAAGACCCAAGGACATATTTCTTCTTCATCGTTGACTTCTACATTAGGCCCAAGCTTTGGTATTGTTCCCTTACAAACCCATCTCACTCTATTCTTGTCATTTTTTTCAAGGGCTAACTCCCTTCTAGTCTTTATGGCATGGAGTTTTACCTTATCCTTAAACTCCTTTGCTGAACCAAATTTTTGAAAAATATAGAAGGGTTCACTAACAAGTGCTTCATCATTCTCATGTGCCCTTTGAATTGCTCTTATTGACTTCTTTCTTTGACCATTAATCCCCTCATTTGATGATGAATCAGATGCTAAAAAGTCAGTGTTAATCACCTCTAAAGCTTCATCATGTGTGCCTTCATCAACCACAGTGTTAGACGACCCTCCAACCCATTCCACATCTTTGTCGATATTCATTTCAAAGTCTTGCATATCCACATTAATATCATCCAATATATTGTCAATGTCCACAAAAAATCACTATCATCACTTTCATCATTGTCACTCTCTAACTCATCAAACTTACCAAAGTCATTAGCATCATTAACCAAGTCATTCTCCATATGATCAGTGAGAGTAGCATCATTACCCAAATCATTTTCCATATGATTAGTGAGAGTAGCATCATTACCCAAATCCTTCTCCATATGATCAGTGAAAGTAGCATCATTACCCAAATCCTTCTCCATATGACTAGTGGGTGTAGAATCATTACCTGATTCTTTCTCTGTGTGATCCATGCCATCCTCCAAGTCAACAGCAGGTATGTTATGCCACTCCAGGAACAGTCTCTTTGAATAAGGTGGAGGTTCAGTAATCTCCGTTATACGGACTTTACTGTGGGTTGGGGACATTAAATAGGTGTGCAAAGTAGTTTTGTCATGCTCTATATATACCTCAATTAACTTATGATTAGCCACAAAACTCCCCAATAACGAACATCTTCATCACTAGCTAAAGCGAATAACCCAAAATCTAAATTGCCTAAAGGCCATTGAAAGTGATAGTAAAGTGGTTTACCTACTGAAGCATACCTTAGGTCTTCCATCATCTCATCAATGTCATGAACGGAAAAGGTATCAATGTCCAGTAAATCAACAAATGTTTGCTTCCCATGAATATACTTCCTTCCAGGAAAGCTTGTAAACTCACCTCCATGGTGCATTCTTATTGAAAACACTGTCGGATGTCCAACTGTAGAGGAGAGAATCGTTTTTAGCTACCAAAATTAAACCTTTAACAGTCAATATCATTCAAACGAAAGTCAATCAAACATACCATAACTTTGATCAATGTTGATTTCATCCATTTCACCACGAATACGCCAAGAAACTATTGCAATGTTCTTGCAATCGTCGCTCCTAGGGTTTTCACGTAAGGATTTTGCACATAGATGTGTGTTTTTTTGGGTATACGATTGTGTTGTACAATGTAGAGTATGATCGTTTAATTGAGCGCATCGATTTCTTAAACTGGTGGTAGGATGAATAACTAAAATGGCAGAAACAACCCTTAACGTGCAAGGCACGTGGGGGTTTTAACTCCAAAATCAAACGGAAGGTTAGAAGAGGGACCAGGCGTGCACTAAACCAAACTATTAAGGATTGACAGGGTTAAAAAAATGGAGTTAGGGACTAGGCGCGTAACAAACACCAAACCATAGGGACCATTCGTGTAATTTGTCCTAAATAAAAAAGAAAGATCACCACCCATTAACAACCAGGTAGAACATAACACAAAACAAACAATGATTTCATAAGCATCATATACTGTGGCAGTTTTTCAGAAATGAAGGAGACAATGACTAATAATCACCAAATTTTGTAATTTAAAAAGTTTAAAATAATAATCATTAAATAAAAAATCCAAATAGGCGTACAATTTTAGTAGTTGAGTTTAATTAATCAACAATTATATAATGCCATCAAAATACAAAGTCTTAATTACCATTCCTCCCTCTTGTGATATGTGCTCATCAAATTCTATCTACATTGCATCAGAACAAACAATACTCAAACCCGGGTCTTTATTTCCAGATGTAAATACAAACAAAATCAAACCGGTCTATATAGATGTTTAAGATCATAAAGAGCAAGAAAAAAAACGCAAAAATAAAACCTGTGAACCACTTCTAAGAGCAAATTCTTTAGAAAATAACCCATATTTACACAAAAATACCACTTGCTCGCCTTCTTCTTATCTTATAGATACACACATACACACATCCGCACACAACCACAAACTTGATTATCTGAACATACATGTGCATGTTAGAGTAATTAAAAAGACTATTCAAAATAGAAATAGAAAAACAAAATTATTTCTTGCATTTAACCCAGTTAAGACGCATCAGTTTATATTTCGACTTTCATTCCCACCTTGCATCACGTATATTTTCTATATTTTCTAGACAAATTTGTTTCTCTGTTTAAAAACAAAAACCATAAACAATGGGAAATAAAAACGATAAATGATTAAAAAGGTACAAAGAGAAATACCAAACATGTTAAAACTTGAAATATTCGGGAACCAAGAACAATGGTAGTTTTTTCTTGGTTTTCGAGGTTGATTCGTTCCAAATTTTGGAACCTGGTAGAATGAGATATGTCAACAAAAACCAATAACTAGCACTTATTTTCGGGTGAGAGGTGGTATGTGGTGGTAGTTCGTTGTGTTGAACAACCCAGGGAGTCGGATGCTAGGGCTTTTGGTGTCATGAAGCTGGTGGGATGATGATTGTTTAAATCGACGTTCATGGCAGAGGCGGCCACACCAAACCCCTAAAACGATGCGGAGAACATAAAAATCACGATCAAGCAAAAGCAAAGTAAAAGATAGAATGGTGCACATACAACCCTAGATGCTTTGGATCTAAGTTTTCTCAAGTTATACATGTAACTAGCATACAACTTTGATAACTGAAACATAAAATAACTTAGATGATTACCTCTTTGTTGTAGTTTGTAGAACTTGGCCTTACAAGAGCTTAGCACCTCAAATGTGATTCCTTAAATTAGTTACAAACACCAAGAAAAATGGAGGACAATGAGAGAGAGCTTGGAGGCACCAAAATCGGCCAGTTTCTTCTTAGAATACACTTGTATCCGATTTTAGGGCTTAGAGGTTACATTTAAAGTGTAAAATTTCAAGGGTCACTTGTAAACCCTAAGTAATTCACTTAGGATTTTAATCCAATAACTCATTTAGACTAACACTTCATGAACTGTAACATAATCTTAGTCCATTACTAATCAATCATGGATCATTTGTCGAAACTATATGTGTCACTGATTTACATAATTAGTCCCCGTTAATTTAACTAGTCTCTTTTGATCACTAAATTAATTCCAAATTAATTCTTGATCAATACAAATTAAATAATATGATTTCTCAATTAATATATTATACTTATAATAGATTAATAAATCACAAATAACCTCTTTCTCAAATATCCATCCTATCAAATTGCTTCAGTGAAGGCAACCCAAATGGACCATGCTACTATCGGGTCAAGTACATACCAGTTATAGTTATAGGCTTAGACACCTAATCCAACAGTCTCTCGCCTTGATAAGTCTAATAACTATAATTGTCAATGCAACTTCAAAATCCGATTAACAATCGAAGCTCTCAAAAGTCACCGTCGAACTCTGACACGTCCTTTAGATAAGGGATCATATAATTCTCTATTCTTTAAGATATCGTGTGGACAAATACATGGAATATAGTCATACTTATTGTCCAACAGTTTGATTCCAGATTTCTGATTTGTTTGACATATAACTTAATTGAACACATTAATTGAGCTCTGACCGGTCCCAACACATAAGTCAAAACAAAATCATAGAGGGGCCCAAGATATCACTTTTAATACTCTTAGGATAAAAGGAATAGATAAACTTCGACTTATATGCTTGTACTAATTACTTGTTAAATTATACACAACAACATGTTTTATAACACCAAGTTACTGATGCGTTTTCGTACTGTCAATGCACAACCAACTCGTAATCAACAACTCATATATCTTGGTTTGAAGACTATATGATATTATCATCTCACAATCACTCGTGATAAATTCCATGAAGTGATTCATGTGAGCGTGGGTTTAATCCAATACTCAAATCTTATTTCAGGAGCACTCATGAATGTTGCAGCAAACTTTTGCTATGTCTAAACACTTTAGAAAATCTACAAACTTATTCATGACAATCTAACTTCATAACCTACTTCCAAAGTATGATCGATTGTGGAAAATTTGAATCATCTTATTATTCTGGAAGTCAAAATATGAAAAATGAAACAATAGTAAACGATTGACACAAGATACTAACTTTACTCATAAATAAAATTCCTTTTATTTAATCATCAAATGTCAATTACATTTTATCTATTACAAGTTTCTAAATAGCTATTTAATCACTAAAACTAATATCTTCCTTCAGCCTAATACTCCTAGCATGCTGCAAGGGCTTAATCCTACTCAGTCCCTTTGTAAGGGGATCTGTTGGGTTTTCTTTTGACGATACCCTTTTTACTATGACGATTCCTTCTTCTACTCAATGTCTTATTAAGTGATATTTTCTGTCGATGTGCCTGGATCTGCCATGATCCCTTAGTTCCTTGGTTAAGGCAACCACACACTCGTTATCACAGAAAATCTCCATAGGCTCATTTACAGGTGGTACAACTCCAAGGTCTCTGATGAAGTTCTCCAACCATATTTCCTCCTTTGATGCTTTGCTTTGCTGCTATGTACTATGATTCGCACGTTGAATCAGCTACAGTCTCCTGTTTGGAACTTTTCCATGTTACTGCTCCTCCATTTAGGGTAAATATCCAACCCAACTGAGAGCATAAATTATCTATGTCGGCCTGAAAGCTGGCGTTACTATACCCTTTCACTCTCAAGTCATCACTCCCACCGAGGGTAAGGACCCAGTTCTTAGTCCTTCGCAGGTACTTAGGAATGTTCTTTACCGTAGTACAGTGAGCTCTACTAGGATTCCCCTGATATCTACTGACCATGCTAAAAGCAAAGGCCACATCAGGGTGAGTACATGTCATAGCACACATAATCGAGCCCACTGCAGAAGCATATGGTACTCGGCTAATCTCTGCTATCTCGACATCGATACTTGGACTCTGAGTCTTACTCAGTTTGGTATTTCTCTGGATAGGCAATTCTCCTTTCTTTGAATTCTCCATGCTGAAACGTTTCAACACCTTGTCCAAGTAGGTACTTTGACTAAGTCCTATTAGTCTTTTACTCCTATTTCTCAATATCCTTATCCTTAGAATGTAATCAACTTCCCCGAGGTCCTTCATAACGAAACACTTTCCAAGCCAGGACTTAACCTCTTGCAAGATTGGGACGTCGTTTCCTATGAGTAGTATGTCATCCACATACAATACCAGAAAGCTAACTATACTCCCACTATCCTTGACATACATGCAGGACTCAATCCATAAATGGAATTTTCAAGCTTGCACACTCTATTAGGATACTTTTCATTGATGAAACCCTATGGCTGACTCATGTGAACATCTACAGCCAACTTTCCATTAAGGAAAGCGGTTTTGACATCCATCTGCCATATTTCATAATCATGAAACACATCTATGGCTAGCATAACCCTTATAGATTTGATCTTCGCTACTAGTGAGAAGGTCTCGTGATAGTCAACTCCAGGAGTTTGAGTAAAGCCCTTCGCAAATAATCGCGCCTTATATGTGTGTACTTTCCCATCCACGTCGATTTCTTCTTGAAGATCCACTTGCACCCAAATGTGTGGCGACCTGGTACATTGTCAAACAAGTTCCAAACTTGATTATCATACATGGAGTGAAGCTCGTTGTCCATAGCCTCCTTCTATTTTGCGGACACGGGACCTGCCATGGCTTCCTTGTAGTTATTAGGTTTATCCAAATTTATCAATGCCCTATCACTGATAAACGTATCACCTTTAGTTGTTATATGAAAACCATATAACACAGGTGGAACACTAATTCTAGTGGAACATCTTAGAGGTACGGACTCGTCAACTGGTTCAACAAGAGTTTCCTCCTCGGGTTGAGAGCTAGTGTTTGAGGTTCCTTCATCACTTAACTCTTGAATCTCTTTAAGGTCAATTTGCCTTCCACTGTCCTCTTGGCATATGATTTCTCTTTCGCAGAAAACCCCTCTCCTCACAACGAAGACACCATTATCACTCGTTCTATAGAAGAGATATCCAAAGGATTTATGTGGGTAGCCGATGAAAATACAATCCTTGCTACGAGGTTCGATCTTGTTGTGAGTCTCTCGTCTTATGAAAGCCT